GATTCTGTTTGTTGGCTGGCTGGTCAAAACTATTTGCCAAAGTGGTCCAAATTTAATTGCACAATTAATCCAGTGGACTAACTTGCAAATGAGGTGGTGCAAAAGTAAGGGCAAAAAAAAAGGAAGTGCTTATGTGTTTGGTAATAAAATAATTTTTTTTATAAAAAAACTTGATAGAAAAGGGCTATGTGGTGGTAATATGTATAGGAGTAAGTTAAAAAAAGGAATTTGGTTATGTTAAAGGTAAAGTTGCGTAGTTAGTGCGTGTGGTAATGTGTTAAGTAATCTGTTTGAAAAGAATGCGGAATGCTAATTGGGAAAATACTTACTAGGTCAGCAGCATCACTTACTCGTACACACATTATCCCAACCACAAATAGAGACATTAGGCCTACACACACACACGCACACCCTCTTTACCACCCCCCCATTATCAAACCTCTTATGCCCACACCCCCCCACTCGTCTTGCATAGACCTCCTCAATATTTACTCTATGTACTTGCAAAAGAAATTGTACTAATGGAATTATTTCATTTTCGAGAGCAGAGCAACAGAGATGGAAGAAAAGAGAAAGAGAGAAGGAATATAGGGGTGTGCGTTGCTGCGTCTCGTTTTGTTTTGTTTGTCGTTTTGATTTACTTTTGGTTTTCGCTTTTTTTTGCCCCTGGTTCTGATATTTTTTTTTTTATTTTTTTTATTTTTTTTACTGTGCAAATAACTCGCAATGTTCCACGTTTCATCTGCTTTCTCTCTCTTGCGTCTTTCCCTGTCTCCAAAGTCGCGACTGCACAAATCAAAGTAGAAAAGTCTGTGGGAAATGAGAAAGTATAATGGTTACACATAAAAAAAAAACACTATATTCGGGAAAACCCATATTTACATAAGATTAATAAGTTTACAAGAAATGCTCATAAAATTTCTAGGTTTAAAAAAAAAAAACCGACAGAAAATATTAATAATAAAATATGGATAATAATATTCAAAAATGAACAGTAAAAAACATCAAACATTTAAAAGATTTGAAACCATAAAATTAAAAAAGAAAACTTTAAAAATACTACACATTAATAATATTATTCTTATAGATATTATACATATAGCAATTAAGTATTATTAAATTGACATTTTCTGTGTGCGCCAAGAAACCATGAAAAGTCCAAACCTCAAGCCCAATGCCAACTTCCACTTTTCTCCGCTTTCTCTTTCTCTTTCTCTTCATCTTCCTCTTCCTCTTCCTCTTGCTCCACTCCCACCCACTTCCTCTGCTGCAGCCTCTGCCGGCGTTGAAACTTTTTTGTTTTCCTTTGGGGCGGTTCAAATAATTTTTTGACTGATTGAATTATTAATAAAATTGATCGAAATGCAAAGAGAGCCGCTGACGACAACGAACGATGCTGGTCAGCAAACAAAAAAATAAAATAAAATAAAATAAAATAGCTCAACGAAAATTCATATCACAGTTTTCAATTTTTGTTTTCTTTGCTTTTCTTATTTGTTGTTATTATTTGATTGAATTACTTTAAAGCACAAGTAGTGATGCATTAGGGAATTTCCCATTGCTAACTTTTCGCCCAAATAAGTATGCTATATATATATATATATATATATATATATATATATATATATATATATATATATATATATATATATATATATATATATAAATATATATTGTATAAATCAAGAAAGCTGACAAGGGTGGTTAACTGTGTTGTAGGTCACATTTAATTAGCACAAATTTCCATTAATATGCATTAATTACACTTGACCACATTTTGTCGAAGTGGCACGTCTGTCTATTATGGCGAACAGGACATCAGGACAATTGTACCTGACATTTGATCAGGTGACATAAGGTTCCATCAAAATGATGGTCAGTTAATCATTTCATTTTGTGGTTAAGACTTAATTGAATAATATTGCTTGGACTATGGTATTAGTCAAAAAGGCTTGTCTTGAAGGCTTTAAAATATAAAAAAATGAATGTATTTATATATAATATATTTGCCAAATTAAAGCCTTTAATATAAATGTTAAAAATATAATATTACATTTATTTTTTTCAAATATTTTATTTAATTACGGCTCACAATCCCAGCAAACTGAATTATCTTTAAATCATATAATCATGAATATGAATCCGTTTTTTTTTTACTTATTTTTCGCGGTCGTTTCTTTTCATTTCTCTTTTTTGCGTTGCCATCGCTGGAGTGCATTAAATATTTACATCATATTTTTTAAATTAAATAATAAAAGACGAGGTTTGCTCTGGCACTCGACCCCCTTGCCCCCGCCCGCCAACCTCAGCCAACCCAAACCCAAACCCCATTTTCCTGTTCAAACCCCCTCCCCCCATCCCCCCAGGTTTCCCCGTTGCCGACCAATTGCCTTTTTATTAATTAATTTATTTGGTGATGCTGTTGTTTCATGGCTGTTTTTACCGTCGATGTGCCATGAATTCCCCCCATTTCATATTGATGTTCTGGAATTTAAATTCATTTTATTACAGTTATTATTTTGATTTTAAAAGCCTATGTTTTATGTTATTTCAATTTCGTATTTATAAATGTTTAATGAAAACTTTACTTACAAATTAAAGCATTTAACATTATGTTGAGTGTGTATTTCAAATGGTAGAAAATTGTTAAGTTAAACTATAGTAGTACATTTTTAAATTTACTTGATAAAAAGGGGTTACAGAGTATAAAATACAAATTAAAAAATATGAAGTTTTGATAAATTTTTTTAAAGAAAATAAATTTAAATCGAACCTGAAACAAACCGAATATTCAATCCTGAAGCCAACAAAATAATTAGAATATTAAGCTATCAAATAAATTCAAACTTAAGACTAGAGTATCACCATGTCAATCAATTTATAGCCTAAAAATACTTGCCAAACTTGTTTTTATTTTGTGATTTCATTTTGACTTATAGGATTTTTTCGGTTGCCCACTATTTGTTGATCGCTTTCGACTTGTTGTTACTGTTATTAATATTAAATATTTATTTTGTAATTTTTATTTAGTTTGCAATCTATAATTGCATTTTGATTGAGCTTTTTCAATGCTGGTAAAAAGCGTTGCCTACATTTTGATGCTTCATTTATTTGGGTAGGTGTATGTGTGTGTGTGTGTGTGTGTGTGTGTATGTGTGTGGGGTTAAAATGGCATCCCAGTTAACTGTTAACTCGGTTCCACCTGTTCGTGTGCCGCCCCTCGCTTAACAATCAAAATTAAAATGAGTGGCTTATTAAAATTTTAACGCTCAAAAAGCATTTTTACTCATCAAATTTTTTATTGCAACTCGGACAGCGTATAAAATGGGGCGAAGTGGGTGAAATGTTTGGATGGTTGGGTGGGTGGCTGGTTGGCTGTGAGAGCGGCGGCTACTTTGATGTATTTTCATATTCCACTGAGATTCGCAAAATACGCAGCCTGGAGAAAGTGGCGGCAAGGGGAGAAAGTAGACAGAGGGAAAGGACGGTCCGCACACAGTCAGTTAGTCAGTTAGTCAGATATTCAGTCAGTCAGTCAGTCAGTCAGTCAGTCAGTCAGTCTCTTTCTCTCTCTGACATTCAAAACGCCGATTGATTTTACTTACAATTATTCTTTATTTCACCACCCTCCATCCAACTTTGCCCCTCCTCCCCCATCGCCCATCCTTTGGTGGAGTGCTTTATTTTAATTACATTGATTTTGGCTAAATGCCGCAATTGTGTTTGCCCCCTCATCGCATTTTCCGCTTTATTTGCACATCATTAAAATTGTAAAATTATTAAAGTGGCAAAACAAAAACTAAGACAAACAGAAATTGCCACCGATTCAGGATTTGTAGTGGGTTTGGGTGTGATGGTGGTGGTGATGGCGGGTTTTTCTTTACCTTTTTTTTTTTTTTTTATTGGCCAGGGATGTTTCCTGTGATAAAGAATTTTCAACTTGAGGGAATATCTTGAAATATGATTAAATGGGATTAAAAACAAATATAAGCCAAGTAAATATACATAAGTATTTTAAAAAAAAAAAAAGGAATACTATTTCAAGATTGTTAATTTTATAGTTTTTTAAAAATGATGCTCATTTTTAATACATATTTTTTTTTTTACTGGGATCACAATGTTTTGCTTATCCTGCGATGTCAATCGTCCCAATCCCAATCGTCCTGAGCCGCATCCTTGTATTCCTTGTGCTATTTTTGTGCTGAGAACTGTGGTGGTGAGGGGGCGAGGGAGGCGTTTTAAAATATTCAATTGGCTGCTGCTCATTATTTGTTAAGTGGCTTAATGAAAGCGGTCTTCCCTTTCCCTTGCTTTCCCTTGCTTCCCCTTGCTTCCCAGATTTTCCCTCTTTTTCTGACCAGTTGCTTTAATTAAATCGCATTTTTTAATGTGTTTGCATAACTTTTGCCTGCACTCTACCAAAAATTGTCTATCGCTTTTTGAGCCAAATATTGGTGTTGAGAATATGGAGAGCTATTTTCTTTTAGTATTTATACAAGGTTAAAGTTAAATACAAATATTATAAATTAAGATATCTTTCGTGAAATATGCAGAATGAATATCGTTATAAAATTACAATTTCATTTATTTTTTAATTCATTTAAATTTAAAATAATTATTAAGTTAGGCGCTTTTTTTTGGGTCAACTTCTTATCTAATATCACATGCATACCAATTAAAAAAAATAATAATATGATATAATATTAATTATTGTAAATTTTTGTTTAGATAAAATGAAGCAAATTCGAATTTTGTAGAAGCTGCAAGATTTTGGGTAAATCTAAATATTATAATAAAATAATAGCTCAAGCAAATCAGAACTTTCAACTATTGTTTGTTATAATTCCCAACTACTTGTTTTAGTAGTTAAAATCCTTGAATTTTGTAAATGCAAAACATAAAACATACTTATGGTTGGTTGAACGATTAAATATATATAATATAAACATTTTTTGGCTAATCACTAACCTATGCATGTTTGTTCCTTTCGCACTTTACAGACAAACTGGCCAGCTGCTTTGTGTGCAAGGCGGAGGCGTGTCCCCGCACCCGCCCACTGAAAAAGGGGCGTGGCCAGCAATACGGCATTCCGGACGACACAATACCGACGGGGGCGCGTGTCTGCAATAGCTGCCAATGCAAATCGGTGCGCAGTCGTTATCCCAACTGTCCGCTGCCCACATGTCCCAATCCAAAGGATCGAGCCCAACGCCTGCGGAACATTCCCTCCCGTCTCTTTGAACTTGCTGCGGAGTTGCGTGATCCGGTGATGGCCGAATTCCAAATACCCCCGCATGCCACACGCTGCTGTTCGGCCTGCCTGATGCGCATCCGTCGCAAACTGGATCCGCAGCTCAATCTCACCGACGGCTCCAACGCTGGCAACGCTGGCAGTGGCAGTGGTGGCGATGAGACGGATGTCAGCACCTCCTCCTGCGACGAACGCGAACCGGGTGGCTCCGATACCGCATCCGTGGAGAGTCCAGAGAATTTGCAGCGTCACAAGTCACTAACGATGGTCAAACAGCATCATCAGCAGCAGCATCTCCAGCAGCAGCAGCAGCAGCATCAGCATCTCCAGCAGCAACAGCAACAGCAATTGCAGCATCAGCAGCAGCATCTCCAGCAGCAGCAGCAACAGCAATCAACGGGTCAACTTACACAGCCACAGCCACCGCCAGCACCACAACAGAAGCCATCGACACCGCGGGGAGACAACAATGCAACGCCGCTGATAATCACACCCACGCGGATGAGCAGCAAGGCGGGATCGGCGGTGGGAGGACAAACGTCTTCCGCCGGTGATAATGAACGCCTGTTGCCACCAGCCGCCGGACAAGCGCCCAAGAAGCAAAAGACCAGCGAGGAGTACGATTCATCGGCGACGGAAACGGCCGATGAGGAGAATGAGAATTCGCCGGCCAATCGACAGAGTCCGAAAGTGCTGTTCCATGGTCACGCTGCTGGCGGACATGGTCATGTGGGGCATGTCAATAATGTGTCGGGTTTGCAGCCACCGGTGGCGGGTGGAAATATGGTGGCGGGTGGAGGAGCACCAACAGCACCCGGAGGAGGAGGAGCACCTGGTCAGCAGGTGAATGGACCGATCAGTATGCGACGCGAGGCGGTCAACAATGTGCAGGATTGTGTGTTCTCGGTGATTGAGCGTTCGCTGAAGCACAAGGGACCGCAACACAAAGGCGGTCAAGGGCAGGGTCAAGGTCAAAGTCAGGGTCAAGGTCAGGGTCAAGGTCAGAGCCAAGGACAAGGCCAGGCCCCAGGACAAAGCCAATCCCCGTCGCAGCAACAACAGCAACAGCAACAGCAATCTGTCAATAATCTGGAACGCAAAGAGCTGACCATTGTGAGGGAATATCGCCAGGATGCGGGAATACTAAAGCAACAATCCGGTGGAGCAGCACCACCATCGTCTGGCGGAGCGAGTGGCCTGCCACATGGCACCTCCGTCCAGAAGCTAACATCCCGGCCAGCAGCTGTGGTGCAGCAGCAGCAGCAGCAGCCGCCACCGGCACATCCCATGCCAACCACCAGTGCTGGCAACTCCGGCAACAGTGGCAGCAACAATGGAACCAGCGATAGCCTAGCCACCTTATCGGTGGTTAATTCTCACCTGGGCGTGGGCGTGGGCGTGGGCGTTGTGGGACCCCTCAGTCATTCGGCGCTGATGGCCCATGCCGCCTCCGCTGGAGTTGGAGTCGGAGTTGGTGTGGACAAGGCCACCATTACGCCGGTGGTCAAGGGTTCGAGTGGTTCGTCAAAGAGTGCGTCCAGCCACTCGACGCCGACGCCGCCGCAGGAAACCATCATCTACAATGTGCCAGCGGCGCATCCGCAACGTGGGATACCACCACCGCCGTTGCCGCAGCATTCGGTGCATTCAGTGCATCCGGTGCATCCATCGCTGGCCCAGCATCCGGTGCATCCGCAACAGCAGCATCCGTCGCATGGCCAGCATCCGCAGCATTCGCAGTTGCAGGTGCCCGAACCGGAACCCCAAACTTTGGATCTGAGCATCAAGAAGCCACCGCGCGATGGCCATTCACCGCACACCGGTGGTTCGAGTGGATCCGGATCGGGATCGGGATCGGGTGCGGGTGCGGGCGTTTCATCCACCGATCGCCATCATGGCCCACCACCGCCCAGCATGTCGATGAAGCATATTGTACGCTCCACGAACATGTATCGCGGCGACACCGTTGGCGTCCCATCGCTGGCGGCACCACCCAACTCCTATCTGTATCCCAATCCGCCGCATGGCGTGCTCAAGGCCGCCGGCGGTGTGGGCGTCGTGCCGGGCGTTGTGCTGCCCGGTGTGCCCGGCAGTGCCCTTTATCTGCAGCCCGTTCCGGGTCCAGTGCCCATTTCCATCTCGGGTCAGGGTCAATTGCCGCCCAGAGCGGGACAACCGCCGCCGGCACAACCGCCGTCGGTCCGCAGCGGTTTGGCCAAGGCGCCGCCCAAGCTGAGTCCCCAGCAGTCTCATCATCTGCATCCCAGCCATGGACACTCACCCTCGCAACAGCAACAGCAGCAGCAACAACAGCAACAGCAGCAACAACAGGCGGCTGCAGCAGCAGCAGCAGCGGCAGCAGCACAACAACAGCAGCAGCAACAACAACAGATGCTGGTGAAGAGCGGCTCCATCACCCATGGCACGCCCACGAATAGTGCCCAACAGCAGATCATTGTCCATGCAGCAGCGGCGGCTGCGGCAGCAGCAGCAGCAGCAGCCTCCTCCTCATCCTCCTCGCTGCTCAGTCCCAAGTTCGAGGGTCATGTGCGCCAGACGACGCCCGACGGTGGCGTCAACGCGAGCCCAGTTGGACCCGTGGGCGGCAACAAGCATGGCTCCATCACGCAGGGCACACCGTTGCACTTGCCACCGCATCACTTGGAGAGCAAACGGGCCTACGAGTTCTACAAGAGTTCACAGCGCCATAGTCCCGCCCAGCAGCAGCAGCAGCAGCAGCAGCAGCAGCAGTTGGTTGGCAATCAGCAGTTGCCGCCGCCACCGCAGCAATCATCGCCGCAGGCACCACCACCCCAGGGCTATGGAGTGGGCGTGGGCGTTGTCTCACCCTATGCCCGTACCTCGTTTGGCGGTGTGGTGGATCAGGCACCGGTCCTAAGTACGCGCCAAATAGTGATGCACGACTACATCACGTCGCAGCAAATGCAGGGACAACAGCAGCAACAGCAGCAGCAGCAACAGCGCAACATGTCACGCGGCAGCAGTGCCAGTGGCGGCGGCGGCGGAGGAGGCGGTGGCTCCGACAAGGAGTCGCCGTCGCCGCGGAACAGTGTGGGCAGCGCCGGGGGATTCGCCTACGGCGGGGACAAGGATCCGGCGCCCAGGGGACGAACGGATTACTCCAGTCGCGCATCGCCAGCAGATCATGCCAACAGGTGGGTGCAAATGCAATTTGTGGCTGGGTTTTATTTAAAGTGTTTAAATTAGTGGAAATATGGCAAATAGTTAAAAACTAATTCGAAAAGACCTCAGCCAACTAGTTTGACTCATTTTTAGTTGCTTATTTGAATATTCCTTTATATAATGCTAGCCTATATAGTTAACAAATAGTGGTAAAATTAATTAATTAATTAATTATTTTATTTCTATTTATTAATTTCTGTTTATATAATATTTAAAATATTTATAATATTATTTATAATATTTATAATATTACAAATATTTATAATATTTATAATATTAAAAATATTTATAATATTTATAATATTAAAAATATTTATAATATTTATAATATTAAAAATATTTATAATATTTATAATATTAAAAATATTTATAATATTTATAATATTTATAATATTTATAATATTTATAATATTTATAATATTTATAATATTTATAATATTTATAATATTTATAATATTTATAATATTTATAATATTTATAATATTTATAATATTTATAATATTTATAATATTTATAATATTTAAAACAAAACGTTGAGTTTCCTGGAGTTTACGTAAATCATAATATGAAAACTTGCAAAAAAATAATTTTTTTCTAGACTTTCTTCATTTTGTTCTCTTTAAATTTGTATAATGTTGTGTTTTTCCTAGGGGCAACAAAGCTACATAATTTTTTTTAGTTTTTAAATAAGTAAAAATTAAAAAAATAATTAAATTAAACTTTTTTTTTTCTTATCTTAAAGATAACCTTCTCGATGAATACTATTCTATAAAATAGTTTTAAGCTTTGGTTTTGATGAGCCAGTCGTAAACTAATTGTGCTCCTTTTTTTTACTTTGTTTAGCACCCCAAGTCCGCATCGCACACCGCCACCGCAGCGGCAGGGCGTCATCCAGCGGCACAATACTGGGTCGAAGCCACCATCGCCGGCAGCGCCGCCACCAAGTCGGATGCACATAGCGCCACCGTATCAATATGCTCCAGGTGAGTTGGCATCGAGTGCGCCACGTGGTCCCTTGTCCCTTGTAACGTCGGCATTTTATCAACCAGCCGGACACGATGCTTTGGCCTCGTTTGTGGACGTGGCCGTGCAGCAGCCGCAGTTGCCGGTGCCGTCGCAAAAGGACGACAAGTCGCCGGGTGCAACAGTGCCGCCGCCACCGCTCGGTGCTGGTCCGCCGCCGCCGCCGCCGCATGGCCCCTCGTCCCTGCCCACACTGGCTGTGGTGGGCGTGCCGCAGCAACCGCCACCGAGCGCCCATCACGATCAGCGGTATCGTGATCTGGCCCTGCATCACCATCACACCATGGTGCAGCAGCAGATGGTGCAGCAGCAGCACTACCGCAGTCTCAATGTGGCCGCCCAGGTCGATATGCAGCGCCATTTGCAGGATCAGGCCAAGCGGGCGCTACGCCAGCAACATCAGCAGCAACAGCAACAGCAGCAGCAACAGCAGCAGCAGCAGCATCAACAGCATCAGGCCCAGCAGCAGCATAACCATGCCCTCGAGCGGGACAGAGAGATGCTGCAGAGTCAGGAGCGAATGCGCGAACGAGATCGTGAGCGGGAAAGGGAACGTGAGCGGGAGCGAGAGCGTGAACGAGAACGTGAGCAGCGGGAAAGGGAACGAGAACGTGAGCGGGAACGTGAGCGGGAACGGGAACGCCGCGAACAGGATCGCGAACGGCGCGTGGTGGTCGAAGAACGTGAGCGGGACAGTCGACGCATGGAGCGCATGTTCGCCGGCAGTGTGGGCACTGCATCTGGTGGCGCCGGAGGCGGCGGTCCGTCGCCCGGCCACTTTATACGCGCTCCGGTGCCGGAGACCGGACCACCACGCTCCATTCCAGATCGCGAACGAGAGCCGTAAGTGTTTTACAAGTATTAATATACATATTTATTATGACAAAACTAGTTTGGTATTCAGTTGGCTGCAACTCATGTCATAATAGGCGTGTGTCGGCAGAGCGCCGCTGATCTTAAGCTTTATTTCAAAATATGATTATAACTATGCATACATAAAGTATACATTACATTTTATGTGGAAACTAGTAAAACGAATTTGATATTTTGCTAACCATTATGTTTTATGACATTTCGTTTATGTACCATATTTTTATTACAAAGCAACTGGAATTAAAATTAAAATTAATTTTTTACAAATAATACATGACTCATAGAAAATCTTAAACTTACAGAACAAATTCCAAAAAAGAAAGTAATTTCTTTAATTTTAACAAGAGCATTGTTTTGTAGGACACTTTTGTTTGGCTTCCGTTTTTGCTTCCAATTTCAACGTTCAATATATTAGTTTACGTTTATATTTTTGCGATGATATTTTTATTACAAACCAACTGGAATCAAGCACATCTTGCTTATAATTTAAAAGTGAATTTCACTCCAATTATTTTTATCATATTTTTAAATACCTTTTCTTTTTAAAATATACTTGACATAACAAAAATATAAAAACTACAGAACATTTTCTCAATAAATACATTTTAAATTTTAAAACGAGAATTGTTTTGTGTTACTTTATTTTATATTTTTGTGCGATATTTACTTTCATATTTGTGCGATTTAGTTAGTGTTGCTATAATTTATATATTTTAAGTATATATTAGAATTTATAAATATAATATATCAAACATATGCGATTAATTAAAAACAAATTGTAATTTATTTCCCCCCGCAGTTACTATCGTGCGGCACATGGCGGCCCCACTCCCGAGGATGCACCCGGCCAACTGAGTGCCCAGAGTCTGATCGACGCCATCATCAAGCACGAGATCAATCGCACCAACGACGCCACCGCCGGTCCGGGACGTGAGTTCCCGCGCCCGTCCTTCGTCCACGCCCCCCCGCCGCCGCCACGCGGTTCCGGCGGAGCGGGAGGCGCTGGCGGCACCCGATCCTCGCTCTACCTGCGCGATCTTCGCCAGCCGCACGAAGGCGGCGCCGTGTCGCTGCTCTCGGCGGAGAACAATGGCAAGCCCAGTTCATCGGGATCGCCCAGTGTGATCAACATTGATTTGGATCAGGAACGCATCTCGGCAGCAGCAGCCGCAGCAGTTGCCCAACAGCAACAGCAGCAGCAACAACAGCAACAGCAGCAACAAGCTCCACCACCCTCGTCGCAGTCGTCGCAATCGAGATCGGTGCATGGTCAGTTGAGAACACCAACCTCGCAGTCTGGCGGATCGGCTCCGAGTCCCCAGCAGACGCACACCAAGAGCATCACCTTCGGCGAGCTAACCGATTCGATAATCACCAATGACTACGGCACCAATCCGCATCTGCGGCCAACGCCGCCCTTCATGGCTTACCTGCAGGAGGCGCAGTCCATTTTGCCACCGGATCGCTGGAAGCAGAATCGTCGACTTCAGCAAAAGGCCGAGGAGGCCAAACACCATTCGCAGCAGCAGCAGCAGCAGCAGCAGCAACATCATGCCCAACAGCAGCAACATCATGTCCAGCAGCAACAGCAACATCATTCACAAATGCCGGGCAGCGGTTCCGGATCCGCACCAGGTGGTGCCGGTGGCGGCGGTCCGGGCGGAGCACCTGGTGGCCCCAGTGGCGGCGGCAGCGGCGGCAGATCCAATACACCCGGCGAAGATGGACGCAACATAATCCGCATGCCGCAGGCAGTTAGTCCGCGCAAATTCACCCACGAGATGATGATGCATCAGGTGATGGGCGCAGCAGCGGCGGCAGCGGGTGGTGAACCAGCCCATTACTTCTTGCCGGCGCCGGGTCGTGCATTAGTTCCCATGCCGCCGGAGCAACGTGGAGGGCCGGGTGGCGGCGGCGGCGGCGGCGGAGGAGCATCCGGCGCAGGAGGACCACCCGGCTCGGGAGGCGGAGGAGGAGGAGGAGGAGGCGGTGGTGGTGGTGCCAGCACCATTGACAACTATGTCAAGAATCGCATCGCCGAGGTGATGCGCGATGACATTGGCTATGGCAAGAATCGTGGCAGCGTAGAGGTTCGTTCCGACGACGAAGTGACCGCCGATCTGGTGGCCGCCCACTCGCATGCCGCCGTCCATGCCGCTCATGTGGCCCATGCCGCTCATGTGGCCCATGCCGCCGCCGCCGCCCTGGAGCTGCAGCACAGAAGCAAGGAGCCACCGCCGCCGCCGCCGCCGGAGATAAGTGTCTCACGCAAGACGCCCAATCAGTACGAGGTGGTGGACGCCAGCGGCAGACGTTCGGCGGGCAGCGGCGGCGTCGGTGGCGGCGGTTCCGTTTCGGTATCCGTTTCGGGGGCCAACAGTCACCACTCGCCGTACCATGCACCGCCGTCGGCCTATGTCCCCAGCACCTATGCCTTTCCCTACAGCGCCCTGACTGTGCCCAGTGCCGCTGGCGGATTGCCGCCGCCGCAGCCGCTGCAACTGGCCGCCCACCAGTCGGTGCCACCGGTGCCCGGCCATCTGAGTGCCAAGGCCAAGGCGGCGCATGCCCTCAGCGAACTGGGCGGCGGCGGCGGCGGTGGAGGAGGAGGCGCAGGCGGAGGAGGAGGCGGCGGCGGAGGAGGAGTAGGAGGAGCCGGTGGCGGAGTGTCGCTGGTGGTGGGCAGTAGTGGCTCGGGCGGAATGGGTGGCGGTGGTGGACCCGGTGGTGTGCCCGGCGGTGGCAGTGGATCCGGTGGCGGTGGTGGACCTGGCAGTGTTGGCGGTGGAGGCAGCGGCGGAGGAGGAGGAGGACACAATAGCGGCGTATCATCGGGATCAGCGGCTGCTGTGAACGCTTCGGCGTCGGCGGTGGCGGCGGCCAGCGAACCGAAGCCACTGCTGTCGTCCAAGTACGAGGCCCTCAGCGACGAAGATTAGTTGTGACTGCCGGCGTCGTCCTCGGCGTCGGCGTCGCACCTGCGGCCAGCAGCAATAGCAGTAGCAGCAGCAGCAGCAGCAGCGGCAGCAGCAGCTGCAGCACTTCCACCCGGCAGCAGCACGAGCGTGGTCTACGGCTATCCTGGCTACCGGCGACACTCTCAGCATCAACAGCAACAGCAACAACAACAGCCACCACCACCAGCACCACCACCACATCCGCATCTTGTCCAGCAGCAGCAGCAGCAGCAGCAGCAACAGTCGCCGCATCGCCAGCAGCAGCAGCAGCAGCAACTCTACCAAAACACAGTGCTGCCGCCGCCATTGCAGTCCCAGCAGCAACTTCATCAGCAGCAACAGCAACTTCACCAGCAGCAGCAGCAACAGCAACAGAGGAATCTCTACTATGCTAGTGAGCATTATCCAGGAGGCAATGGGGGCAGTGCTGCCGGCGGCAATCCGGGCTACTACTGACAACAACACTAGCAACAACATTAGCAGCAACAACACCAACAACAACACCAACAACAACACTAGCAACAGCAGCAGCAACAACAAGAAGCCTTGGCTAAGCAAACAAAAAAAATGTATATGTAAAAAACCGAAAACTAAAAAAGGCTTTAACAAAAAGGAGGAAGGATATAACCAAACCAGCGGAAAATCGAAGGAGAGATGCAGAGAGAGAGAGAGGAGATGGTAAAGTGAGATGACAGGCAGAGACTTGACGAAACATCTAGTTAAAGTTGTGTTCAATAAGAGCTATTTAGACTTTTTCAAAACACTTTAAATCAACTATTGTGTCTGGTGATTGGATGTGCTTCCCATTTCAAACCATGTCAAAACACTACATTTATAGAAGCAAATTTGGAAATGTAAATAATGAATAACGAAAGCGAAAGTTCTGTTCATTCAAGATTGATAGATTGAAGCTATAGAGTATCAATCCAATCCGCTGTTTCCTCTTGAATCTTGTGACACATACACGTAACTTTATAAGCATTCGTGTCCTTTCTGTCGCCTATATAAATATATGTATGTACTTGTGTCATCTGTGTGTGTCCTTGTCCTTGTCTTGGTCCTTTCGTGGCATCACCACCTCCAGTTCATCCTCCTCCTGCTCCTCTTGCTCCTCTTGCTCCTCACACAGCTCTAACCTCAGCACCCCGAGTCGGAACGTAATGAGAATGGTAGTGACATCAATATAGATATATACAAAAACCGAAATCACACCACAAACACACACACACACACACACACACACATATATATACAATACACTTATGAGCATAAGGAGTAAACAAAATAATAATAATAAAAAAAAAACACACACACACTGTTGGGCTGTTCTTAGAAAAACAAAAAAACAAAAAACAAAAAAACAACAAAATCTTAACAAAGGAAAACAATTAAAACGAGAAACAAGTAAATATATATATATATACATTATCTATAGAACACTTTAACACATTATTTAAACGACTTTTTGTAAATTTCATAAAAACTGCGCATAATTTTAATGAGCATCATTTAATCAATTTTATCAATACATTTACTACTACTATTATTCGTTTTTTTTTTTTTAATTGCTATTTTTATACGCAAGATCTAATTTATGGAGCATGATTGTGTTTTATTCTCTTCTTAAGCAAACGCTATTGAATTATGTACGTTTAATTGATAAGCTAATGAAAGTTTTGATGTAAGTAAAATAAAAGTAAGCCCAATACACATAAATATATGGGATATACATACGCATATTTTTTTATAAAACACTTATGTCTTACGAAACAGTTTTAGTGTTTAGCTACTTTACTGTTTAATTCGTTTTTTTTAACTTATTTTTTTTTTATATGCAAACACAAAGCAAACGTGTGAAACCAATTGAAAAGCGTGAAAACAAAAAAAAAATTCAATATTTTTAATACATAATGAAACTAAAAAACGAAACAAAATCTATATAGTAAATATATATATATATATATAAAGTAAACAACAAACGCTAAGACTTATTCAACAAAACAAAAAATTGTAAAATATTAAAAGATAAACGAACGATATATATATATATAAATATATAAATATATGTACAAGCTAACGATGCAGATAAATTATAGATATTCGCAACCGTTAACCGAAAATAAATCGGAAACGGATATGGAAAAACCGAAACGCAACTCTGGCCGAGGAGCGTGCAGCAACGTTTTAGTTAAGAGCAGGAAGCGTATTTTTTTTTATAAATATATATATATATATATAAATTAAAATAAAATAAAAAATAAAGCAACAAATTCTATATATACAGAAAATTTTACAAAATATATATATATATATATATATATACGTATATACATATATGTATATATATATATGATAATAAATGTATGTAAAACGGCAGCATAATAACTAACGGAAAAAAAACAGCGCCAGAGGTTCGAGCAGAAGGGTCGGGGTGGGGCGAAAGCGGCCGGGACTGGACAAACGGACTTGGGGACATGGACTCGAGGAGCCGCCTACACAACGAAACAGCTTGCTTCGCCCCCACCCGATCACCGATCATTGATCACCGATCATTGATCACCGATCGATGGACGATCCTCGATAGAGAGTGCACTTTCTACACATATAAATATATAAAATGAATACTGTATGAATAACCGAATTTTATAGCTGGGCGAATTACACAAAACGCCGGCAGAAAAACAAAACGTGTATGCACAACAAGGCGTGCCCTGAAAATGATTTATGCAAATCACAAAAAAAACAAATTCAAAATTCAATATGTTGAAGGACCTACTATTTTGTTTTGATTTTACCGTTTATTTTTGTCTCTGTTGTATCAATTCAAAATCGATATAGTTGTATGGAAATCGATAAAAACAAAAAATATTACAAAAAATTACGAGTATAGGCGGTCTTTGAGTGCATAATAATGATAAATAAAACAATAAACACAAATTATAAATGGAGATAACAAGATAACAAGAGAGAGGAGTGAAAAGTAAACAACAATATTATGTGGAGTATATGCATGTAATGTGCGCCGAGTCGAAGAGCTAGAGCTGATTATGATCGATACATGATAATGATGTTTAGCACTTAAGTTTTAGTTGTAACTTTATGCCTTAAGTTGTAAGCTTAAAAATAATAATATAAAATTAAATACAACATATTAAAAAGCAAACAAAACAAAATAAAAATAAAAACAAATACAAAAAAATAAAACAAAAGAAATGTATAACAAAATGTTCTTGTTTTTTTCTCTGTGTCTCAAGTGGTTTTACAATGTAATGTGAGTAATAAGCTTTTAACGTTGTGATTATCGTTTGAGGTCCCACAGGTAGGTTTTGTTAATAATTTCTTACGGTTAAAAATCTCTTGATATGATGATGATTTCATTTCCTATGTTAAAGTTCAAAAACTATTTTACCGTTTTGAGGCATGCAAATTTCTGCAGAATAAACATGTATTAATTTAGGCATTATAAATCACATTTATTAAAGACTTTTGATTGTTAAACAAGGTATGAAATTCCATTACTGGACAATTATTTTCATTGATATGGTCGAAAAATCATGAACATGAAACGATTTTACAATAAAAAGACTCTTTGGAAATGCTTTATTTTCTTATTTCGCCAAAAACCCAAAAATACCGTTTAAAAATCAGTTTTTGAATAAAAAGTCTGGGAAATAATTCTCAGAAGTTAGAGTGTCATGCATCGTTGGATTCGTCATAAAATTTCCAATCAAATGGCATTTACAGCAAAAATTTTTCCAGGTTTTCAAATTTTGGCAAAAAATGATGATGTACCCCCTTATCAAATATGCGAAAATTGGGCATTTTCAAGAAAACGGCTTTAAAAAATCGTTTTTTATATCGAAACAAATTTTTTTTTTTCTAAAACTGATTTTTAAACGGTATTTTTGGGTTTTTTGACGAAATAAAAAAATAAAGCATTTCCAAAGAGTCCTTTTGTTGTAACTTGGCCAAAACAATCCGCAAGTCTTAAAAAAGACTGTTTTTGTGCAGCGGATGCCCCATTTAAATAATCCTCACTCCTCTTTGACAAACATTATGTTATGCGAATTTCTGAATTTTTTGAAAGGGGTTACATCACCTTTTTTCTAAAACGGACCAAGAATTTCCATGTTTGAATATCAATAGATTTGGAATTAAACTACGTGTTTAGCAAGGAATAACATTCTATGATTGGAAAATTTTTTTATTTTGCCATTGCAAGCAAAAATATTGTTCTCTTAGGCGAACAAATCGTGACTTTTGGTGAAAAATCACATTTTGGACTTTTTGCAAATATATACTAAGTCCGCAGGTAATCGATAGAGCAAGTCAAGTCTAAACAAAATCTGATAAACGGAAAAATATCTGTTAACCGGAAAAAAAAGTCTGACTAGTGTTATACCTAATCAAAATCTCTTCAAGCTCTTATCAAAATTTCGGAAGTCATTTGGCCAGATAAAGCAATCAGTGGTTTATCGCACTGCACATAGAGTGCTAAAGTAGCGCCACATCCGTTCCATCCGTGGACCCCAAAACCGAAGAAGCAGAAGAAGAAAGCTTTCGTGCTGCCGGGCCAGAAAGACCGACGTACCGACGTATACATATAGAACCTCCTAAAAGTCGGATGAGGCGACGTCACTGCATCGAGTCGACGTCGACGGTCCGGATAGGAGTGAGATTAGTGATAACCCCCGGTTATCGGAAGCAGGGCTGCGCAGAGACCTTGTTGCTGAAATACTACATACTACATTTTCAAAATAAAAACAAGAAGCTGATTTATTGATTTTTTCATTTATTTTGTAACGTTTTTGTTTAATTGCTATATAACTTAAAATTCGCCATAAACTAAATTGTTTTCACTTCACTTTAATTTACTATATAAAAAATACGCACAAAGGTGTTGCAATGGAAGCATAAATAGGCATGTTTCAGCATTAACAAAATTCATGTACAATTGTGTTCATTTCTAATTTGTTGTTTTGTCTTTTTCGATGTTTCTTTTTTTTATATTTTGCTTTTATTTTTTATTTGTTGTTGCCAATGCGGATATCTATGAAAAACTATTGTATATGGTTATATAAATAACGAACAAAGTAAATATAAATAGTGTATAATTCAACTGGCATTACATTTCTTGATTTTCCTTCTTTTTTTCTTTGTTTATCGATCATTCAAGAGTACTCTACATATTATCGTTCACCACATATAGTTTAGTTTACCTATGTTTTTCTTAGGAGGAAGACGACTTGGGTAAATGTGTTAAGTGTAAGTTTTATTCCGATAAGGCCACACTTGCTTCATGCGGGGCATAGTTTTTTGTTTTCTTTGATTGTTGTACAAAGGGAAGAACGTGTTTAAAAAAAATATATAATAATAATAATCATCATGATGATATCCAAAGCTGGGGTTTTAAGTTAGGATTTTTTTTAAAATTAAATAGAGCAAAAAAACAGTATAATATATAATTATGTTAAATATAGGTATAATTATTAATCCTTTGCACGCTGCCGTAACTCTCCATTCTGATCAATTCGTACGAAAACAAGTGTTGGGGAGTAGGAGTAAAATCAAATTGAAAGTAAAATAAAATAGACTTTAAAATAATAATAAATAATTAATATGCCTTTTGCACTCTGTCTCTGCGTTTCCTTTTCCATTTTCACAAGACTATACATAATTTGTGTTTTGTGTATATATAATTTATATATAATATTAATGATAAGGCACTTTGAGAATTATTTACCCCCCCGTGCGCGGTGCACACAAATTGATAAACACGCGTGGAATTTGATCTTTCCTCGCCCGGTTTTTTTTTTTTTAAGTCATGCTTAAATTTGTTGCTGCTGTTTTTCTCGTTGTTGTTGTTGGTCGCTACATAAATATAATACGCCGAGTGAAAAAGGTATTAATAAATAGAATTAATTAAATATTTGATTTAGTTTGATTTGAATTGCAGTTCAGCAATTTTTTCGATACACAATATTTTCACAAAAAAAAGGTCTCTATTAATGTAGACTAATGTCACTGTATACAGGTTACAGGTGTTTGCATATATATTTATATATATATGCACATATATATATATAGTTTGTATAGGCAAAAAGTGTGTTACAAAAATAATTTAAATATTTTCCTTAAGTTTTGCGCATTTGCATTGCGATTTGTATTTTGTTTGCTCAGTTTTGTTCCCTTAATTTTACATGTCTAACACTGTACTCAGTTTGTTTTTGTTTTGTTTTTCCGCTTTTCGGCCTTTTCTGATTAATTTTTTTCTGTCCGGCACATACAAAATAGTTTAAATAGGTTTTTTTTTTTTGTTGAGGCTTTTCCTTTGTTTTATCCGCTTTTATTACATTCGCATGTACTTCATAATCATCGGCGTAAGCATAATAATTATAATATGGTTTATATAAGTTGTATATAAATTAAGGGTTTCTCTCATAACACTAAAAATTATATAACTGCACCCAAAAATAGAAGAAATCAAGAAAATGTTGTAAAATAAATTAAATAAAAATAATATATAATAAACAAAATGATCTGTCGCATATACCATATAAAAAACATAAAATTATCAATGGTCAAAATATATATATGTGTGTGTGTGTGTATGTGTGTCTGAGTGTGTCGCATGTGTTGTTTTCATAAATTATTAACATTAATTGCATATAAAATATATCTGGTATGTTTTATGTAAATAGACGTGAAAATAAATTATGGTGTTAAAAATCAGCATTTCCATTTCATAGATCGATTTAAACAGAACAAAGAATCGTAATCATTCAAACAAAAAAAAAAGGTCAAATCATTGACTGAATTCCATAATTAAGTTCTTCTCAAGACGAAAAATTGTTTGTTGCTCGTTGGTTGTTGTTGGTGTTTGTTTGTTTGTTTGTTTGTTTGTTGTTGTGATTGGTTGCACAAATTGCAGAGGTATATCATCAATAATATTCATATCATCCAAGATCATCATCATATAACCGTAATCGTAATATAATTGGTAAATATAATTTATAAACTTTATCAAAATATTAACTCTCGTATATACACAACGTTCTCTATTACATAAATTTAGCAAAAAATAATAAATTAAAGAATTTCCTTAACTTCGTTTCTGTCCGTTTCTATCATTATCATCTGTATTGATTGATTGATTAATTGATTGGCTTGGATTGGATTGGATTGGATTGGGTTGGATTGGATTGGATTGGAAGACATGGGACCAACTCTCTACTCTCTCTCATTTCTTTTTTTTTTTTCCTCCATATCAGGGGATATATACAGGGTGCTGGCCATATGTATATATACCGATAAACAATTTTAACATTAGACTAATCCAAAGTGCGTGGCATATAAATATTGAACAAAAGCGACAGGTGTGTGCAGGATTTATAATGGGTGCACTGCAGTAGGTCCTATAATAAATGCAGGAACGAATATTCACGTTCGTCGTTGGCCGTTTGTTGTTGATTTTGATTTGAGCAACATTTGCTAAAGATTCCCAATAGTCCGTTTTCGTCCTTATCTTATCTTCTTGTCCAGTTTTAAGAATGTTTCGTGTTTTGCTTACACTTCTCTTTAGTTTTTAGTGTTTAGTTTTTAGTTTAAGATCATCGTTTCCTTGGATTGTTTGTTTGTCATTTACGTAACTATCTACCATCTACCATCTACCATCTACCTAATCGTCCCGTCGTCGGCGGTTCGGTTCTTCTCATATCTAACGAAAACGATTGACTGTCACAGCTTGAGAGAAATCATATCAAAGATCGTTTCACAATTAAGGGGAAGCATGTGGGTGTGTGTGTGTGTGTGTGTGTGTGTGCTTGGCAGTGTCCTGCTTTTTCGGTGGCGTATACTTGATGTACACTTGTGCTGCATTTCAAGTGCCCCGGAAATCCAGTTGCCTTTTTTTTTTATGGTAATTTGGTTTTGCGATTTGGAATTGCACGGGAGTTCTTTCCAATTTCCATGGGTTGGTCGTTACTGAGATTTTGTCAAAGATGCTGTTGTTGTTGTTGTTGATGATGGAGGGATGCTTTGGATGCTTTGATGGGCGTGAATGGATGCTGGATAGGGTTTGATTTTGTCTATGTGGGACGTCTTTTGCTGGCTGGCTGGCTGGCTGGCTGGCTGGCTGGCTCGCTCCTTCTTAGAGTCCCAAATTGGACTGCTGCTGGTAGGCCTCCACGGCGGAACTCAGACGGTTGAAAACCGGCAGCCTGGACGCCTCCTCCTGTTGCATCGGTGTGCTAACGCTCTTCTGCAGCAGCTGCTTGCCATTGGCGCTGCCCACTCCGGATCCACTGACCACCACATCGTACGGCGGCGGCGTATGCACTGGCGAAATGGGTACATTGGGACTTTCGGGCGGCGTGGCGGGTCCATGATGACCCATACTCATACCTATACCCATATTCATGCACTGTCCCATGCCCTGTCCCATGCCCATGCTTATGCCCTGGCCCATTCCCATGTTCATGGTCATGCCGAGACCCAGTCCAGAGGCCGAGGATGTGGACGAAGCGGAACTGTTGCTAGTGCCGCCATTGGAGGCCAGGTAGCCCTGCTGCAGGGCATCGTGGAACGGGAAACTGGTCAGCGAGTTGGTGGGACTGAGCGACAACGAGCCGGTGGGCGATTCCCGGTCCGATCCCGTGCTCATGCTCAGCGGCGGACTCAGCGGCAAATAGAACTGGCTGCTGTTGTTGCTGATGTTGCTGCTGCCGCTGCTGCCGCTGCTGCTGCTGTTGCTGCTGGTGCTGCTGCTGTTGCTATTGCTATTGCTGCTCTGGTTGCTCTTCGATGAGAAGTTCGGCGACGACTGCTGCTGCTGATTCTGCGACTGCGACTGCGATTGCGATTGCGATTGCGATTGGGACTGGGAGGACTGGGACTTGGCTGCCTGAGCCGCCTGCTGGGCACGTGCCTCGTCCGCATTGTGGACAAAGTGGCAGCGCGGTCCGTATGGACAGAAGCCCACGCTGTGGAAGGTGCGGCAGTACTCCGTCTTGTATTTGGGATGCCGCTGCAAGTTGCGCAGCTCGTGGTATCCGTGGGCGAACTGACACTTCTCGCCGTACTTGCATTCGCCGGCTTCCTCGAACGGGCGGCACAGTTCCGTCTTGTACCTGGAAATGTTCATTTAAAGGAATTAGTTTGAGTACATAGGAAGGCATCCCATTGACAAGTGATCCTGCATTATTAAGCATTGTCAAAACCCAAAGGTTTCTTTTAAAGGGAACGTTAAAATTTCTTTGCTTTCTCTATTAGTTTTTTTTTTTTTAATTCACATACCAATCTTGGCAATTGTATTTGTTTTAAACCTGAACACCTTTTTTTTTTACTACAATGTTTAAGGACGAAAGAAAAGCCTTCACTGTAAATATTAAAATTTGGTTACTGGTTTTTTATATACATATGCACTGTTTTTGTTTTGGATATTTTATTACAATTTAATTTAACTAATTGTTTAGGCAGAAATTGAGAAATGTCTCAATAAAACTATATAATGGGACTTTAATTTAGTCCATAGAAGTTTAATCTACCGATTTCCTAGTTTAATGTTAAATGAGTACAGATAAATAAGTCCCTATATAAAATGACCTAAGATTTTCGGCTTTTATGAGGAGTTTATTTCGATTTATATCCTTTTATGCCTACTCCTTTGATTTTGGGTTATTTGCCTTACCTGGAGGTATTCATCGGCTGCTGTGGCAGTGGCTCCGACTGCGTTCGCTCCAGCTTACGGTGCAGGTTCATGTTGCCCAGGTTCTCGATGATGGTCACCAGATTGGCCACCACCGGTTGCTGTTGCTGCTGTTGTTGCTGCTGTTGCTGCTGCTGCTGGATGAGCTGATGGCGCTGCTGGGCCGGCTGTGAAATGGTGCGTGTGAGGGCGCCATGAAGGCGATGTGGCTGCTGGTGTTGCTGCTCCATGTTGCTGCTGTCCAGGACGAGCTCCACTTGCTGCTGCTGCTGCTGTTGCTGCTGGAGATGATCGCGATCGCGGTCGCTGGCCACCTGTGAATGCAGAAGGCGAAAAACCAAAATCAATTTCTGTGTCTCTCGGGCGTATACGTAACAAGCGAATATTTCGCAAAAATCCAAAAATCCAAAAAAAGAGAGGATGTAAAAAGAGCCGCCGCCGAAAACAAAACCAAAAAGCAAAAGCAGCACAAAGCCAACAGCCAAGCTAACTTTTACTTTTAACTTGACCTATAAGCAAAAACAGAAAAACAAAAATAAACAAAAAAAAAAAGAAAAAAAAAACAGAAAAACAGAAAAAGCCAACCAGCTAGACAACTGAGAAATATTGCAAAAGGCACACAAAAATGTTATAATTTTCCAGACATTAAACAAGCGCCAAGAAAAACCAGCTACCTCTCTTTTTTAAGACCCCCTGTTTTGGCTATAACTTTTTAGCCAGTCCCCCTCTTTTTGTTACCCTTTTTTTTAACCACTCTTTCAAACCCCCCTTTTCGTGTCGTCATCAGTTTCGGTTTTGTTTCTTTTTTTGGGAACGCAACGTCTGACTTGGCCTGTTCATTTTCGTGCGATGCTGTAACATGTTATGCAACCAGTTAACACACACACACACACACACACAGACACACACACACACTCGGGCACTTAGCCCACTCCATCAAGCGTGGCCACAACTAACAACAACAACAACCACTACCAATTACATATGTATAGAGCTCAAGTTCAAGCCAACAACACGAAAGGCAAGCAGAAAAGCTGAAGCTCAAAAAACCGAACCTCAAAAGCCGGAGCTACGAAAAAGACAACACCAACAAGATTTTGGGGCCCAACCAGTAATCAACCGCCTCAGCACCACCCGCCCTCTGTAAGCCCCCCTCCTCCTGTCTTTCCAAAAAAAACCCAACTCAAGTTGCCACTCTCCGCAGACGAAAAACTGGTTGCCTTGCTCAACAAGTGCGAATGAAAACGAGATATAGAGGGTGTGCGGTGATGCCAAAAGAGAGCAAGAGGGACAGCATGTGGCGGTGGCGCATGCGCACCGACTTAAAACAGGGTTTCCAGGTGTTGGCGGTTTAAAAAAACAAATCCATATGAGAATTATTCAAAAAAAAACACACAAACATAATAAGGAATTAAAATAAAAAAAAAAAACAGAAAATATAAAGAATTAAAACGGAAAATATAAAAAATGTTAAAGACAAATTCCAATAAATTTAGGAAGTATAAATAATACATAGACCCCATCAAAATTGATTAAAGTATTTAAAGTTCAGAAACCATCAGCTGTAAATGTTACTCATACCAATTTGTATAATAATATCGATTGAAACAAAAAAAGATTGAAAACAATAAATAATAAATAATACAAATAAAAAAAAATAATTTCTAATTACAAAGAAAAGTTTATTATTGGTAAAATGAACAAAGAAATCTTTAGTAATTACGAGTCTCAGGATTTAGATTTGGGTTGTTCAACTCACAGATGCCCAACTGTAAATGACCCAAGTTGCGATTACAGAACGATATAGCCCACTTAGAGCTTCGTTATCTCGAGAGAATGAAATGGGATGTCAAGACACATTAAAAAGCAGCCAGACAGATGAGGCACATAACAAATAAATATTTATATACATATGTACATATGCACTTCATTTAGGTTATCTTTGCTCCGATTTCAACAATACACATTCCTTGAATTTCCATGAGTAATTCCAGAACCGGCCAAACGAAACGAAACAAAACAATTTAAATGTTCAATTAATTAATTTGCCTGCCCAATCAGTTTAGAAGCCATATACCCGATGTACTTGTTGTCGATCGCTTATCTTATCATTCGTCCCATTTGGCATCGTGTCTTGATTTTTGTTTCACTTTAATGGTGAACATTGGCATTGGCATTGAAGGGTACCACCTTTCTACTACACAAAAAAGATTGGACCCCAATGACTAAGTGAGGTAAAAATTACAAAATATTTTTAGGTTTTGTAAACTATAATACTAATAAAATATAAAATATTTTTCGAATTTTAGGTCAGTTAAAAATAGTGAGAATTAATTGTAGCTAAGGTTGGGTACATATATTAATATAAATATTTATTATTATTTATTTCTTCACTTGAATTTTCGGTCGTTAAAAAAAACGAAACTTCCTGGACATCATAGATAATTAGTCAGCTGACATTGACGATCACCTGGCAACTCTGTTTTTAGTTTCTCAGTTTCAGTTTCAGTTTCAATTTCAGTCTGTAACTCTGCGCAGACAGCAGTAAAAAGGAAGAAAAAACATTAACGAGCAAGCGCAACAAGTTTAGCAAACCTTTGGCGCTGTTTTTTTTTTGTTTTTTTTCTTTTTATTTTTGACCAACTTTAACGCTTACGGCATCGATGCGACTGAGACTGCGGATACGGTTGCTGCCTTCTGCTCAAGCATTTGATTTTGCTTTTTGCCTTTGGCTTGCACCAAGTATCATAAATAAGATCCAAGTTTATGCCTGGTAATTTACGAACTCTTCATTTAAGCCTCATAAAAATTGCACAGAGGCTACCCTTGAAAAGAATTACTCATATGCATTGGCAAAGGTACGAAAAAAAAAAAAAACATTATGTAATGCTTAGTACCCAGTCTTTATACTTAGTACAGGATTACGAAATTCTATTGATTACATGTATAGTAAATATATTTCAAAAGAAAACTGATCCCTTAGAAAATTGAATTGAACATGAAAAAGAAACTGGAACTCAACCCAAATTCCCGATTAGCAATACAAACTCTGTTCGTAAGTGAAAATCGAAATCGGTGAAGAAATCGCACTTCCGCAACAAAAAATCCCAAAGATAACCTTCAAACTTGTCAAACTTTCTTACGATTATTTGTGTGTCAATTAGTTTTGTTTAATTTTGCACAGCTGTTTTGGGACCGACGACTTTGAATTCATGGTCAAGTTATGACTGCGATTCGTGAACTGATTTCGCAAAGAGAGGTTCGCATAAACTCGATTTGTATGGGGTGAGTAATGGGTGATAAAGTGGGTTGGAAAGGGGCAAAGGAGAGGAAAGGGGGAATATCGGAACGTTTTTTTTTCCTTTTAAACGTGTTCGAAAAACAACTTCAAGACAATCTACCTCTCTTCTCCGCTACTCTCTTAACCCCTCTTTCTTTTGTGTATTTGTGTAAAAACAAGATTAAGACTCATTTTGGCAGAAGACGAGGAGTACGAAGGAGATGTTGAAGTACGAAGCTAGATCTGCGGCTCGTTTCAAATCTTTTGTTTTTGTTCTTTTTCCTGTTTTGGTCTTTGCTTTTTGCGCCGTTTTCCCGTGTTATGTATTATGCACCGCTCTCTTTCTATTGCCAACTCGCGATCTCTTTCTGTTAAAGGCTCCACATCTCTTTCTTTCGTCTAGGCGAGAATTTCCCTTTCATTTGAAAATGAAAATAAGTTTACTTTTCTTTCAGTCATGGTTTGGCTTATTTTTCTTCTTCTACCTCTTCTTGTTTTCTTCTACTTGTGGCTAGTAGACGACTCCTCTCTTCGCCCCCCGCTTTCTTCACACTGCTTCTTGCCACTTGTATTTTGGTCGCCTGGTATTTTTGTTGTCTGTTTTCCGTTTCATTGTTGCGGTGGGTTAAGACAACAACTGAAGACTAGAAAGAGAAAGGGAAAGAGAGTATGTGGGCGGGAAGGAGATAGGCAGAATGGGGGATAAGCGTTGTTTGGCCAAGAGAAAAAGAGACGGAAGGAAAGCAATAGACCTTGAGCTTGAGGTCTTTTTGGAAACTTTTCTATTTGCGAAATTTAAAATTCGGAAACATGTCGAAATGCAAATAATGCATTTTCATTTCTTAATTTATTTAGGGCAAGGGCGCTGCCTTTAAGTACAGATTAAGAAGTCGTGAAGCCCAATTACTTAATACAAATTGTTTTAATTGAAACAAAAGTTTAGGTTTTTTTCTTTGCACTAAAACAGAAGAAGTGACACCTTTTTTCCCAATTTGTATAACTTCTTGTTTTACTTCCTAATATATAAAATGTAAATGTTCCATTAAGATTTGTAATGTTATAATTAATTCATTTTGAACTGCCAAAATGTCGGAAATGTTTTAATACACACTTTTTTTAAACTTTGTTTTACTATCCTTATGCGCAATAATATTTGCCACCCAAATTTCGTCTTTTTAGAGATTGGACCTTACTTGTTTGTAATCTTCTAAAACTTTTGATACATTTGGCAATTGTTAAGATCTTTAACAAGAATCGCCACCCAAATTTCGGTTCCTAAGCGTTTCTTTATTACTTTTCGGTTAACCCATAGCATACATATGGAAAGATATAGTTATGCAGATGTATATATCTTATGTATATATCTTATCGAGTGTGTGTTTCAGGTCTTGGCTCACGGGCTGTTAGGTAAGATCGGCGATTGTTGTTGCTGCTTACTTGTTTGTGTCTCATAAACACGTACACACAGATACACCGGTCTTCGTGTGAGTGTTTGTGTGTGCGAGATGCTGAAGACCTGCTGTTGTTGGTTTGTTGTTTTTTTGTTGTTTTTTTCGGTTGGACTAACTGGTTTATAAAGCCGTACCAATAAAAGCAACAACATCGCGATGACGACGACGCAATATCCATAACCTCGATGAGCTAACACCAATACAATGGTAAAATAAAATTTAAAAAAAAAACACACACACCCAGACAATTTTTATTCTGTTCATATATGCGAATTGAAAATGAATACAAAGTTATTATTGAGTGTTATTTATAATACCTGAACAACCTGCACGAACGACTAAAAAGAGATGGAAAGAGGCGAGGGGGCGTGGCGCTACTATGTATCTATACAGTGGCGGCACCAATAGTAAGATTTAAGCTTCCAAATATTATATATATAATATAGGAAAAGTAGCATTTTTAATATTTTTTTTTCTTTCAGTACATGTTAAAACCATAATGTCCTTAACTTTAAATATTTAAACATGTTTTAAATATATATACCTTTTATATATTTAATTTAAAGAAAAACAATGGTTAAAT